AAGGAGACGCTGAGGCTGGCGATGGCGGGTGACTTAGGCGCGCTTGCCAGGGCAGGATGTGGAGGGATCGGGCGGGCTGTGCTGCGTTGAGGAGTCCGGGCAATGTCATGGTGGGGGACGGTGTGTGATGCAGTGGGCCGTGGTGGGATCCGGCCACCCCAGCCTCTCTCTGGGGCGTCTCAGCCGGCACAATCTGTACAAAGTGGCAGAGCCTCCAGAAGGCTCTCTGGGTCCCAACCGCCCTGGGGATGTGGTGCTCTGCAGGGTCCTGAGCCAGGTGTCTCTGTCACCCTAACCCTACCAGGGCCTGAAGGTCATAATCTTGCTCCCTTCTTTCTGGTGATATCTGCGAGCTCGATATCGCCAGGCAGCATGTGTTTACCCGGATGTGACCCCAGGTCTCTTTAAAAAACTTTACAATTATTAATCCCAATTAATCAAGTGTAATTTTTTTAAAAAGCGAACACCTCACTCTAGAAAACTAATCTTGCTGTTTTTCTGTGCTCACTTCCTGCCCTTTGTCCTTCTGATTTGTTACTGCGGTATCACTTCCATTCGCTCACCTTCTCCAGCCTGGTTTCCTCAGCACGCGCCCACACCAGGGCACACAGCGCCACATAACATCCGCGTCACTTTTCTTCTTTTGGCAATGCTGGGGCTCGAACCCAGGGCCTCCCACATGCTAGGCAGGCACCCTACTGCTGAGCTACACACCCAGGCAGCCATCCTGTTCTATTTTATTTCCTTATTAGTCCATGTTGGCAGAACGTATATTTATATCTCTTGGGGGCAGTTGGTGCATGTACACAGCACACCTCAATTCCTTTTTTCACCCCCTATCCTGTTCCTCCCTCTTTCCATCTTTTGATCCCTTTGAGAAAGATTTATCTCCCTACTTCCATTATCTATCTTTGATTTGGCTCTTTATTTATACTGTGGGTTTCTTATATAAAAGAAACCATGTGATATTTAAGCTTGTGTGTCTGATTTATTTCACTTAACACTACAGTCTCAAGGTACATCCATTTTCCTATAAATGACTCAAGTTTATCCTTCTTCATGACAGAGTAATGCTCCATGGTGTATAAATACCACATTTTGTCCATTCACCTGTTGATGGACATAGGCTGCTGCCAAGATTTAGCTATTATGAGTTGTGCTGCTGTAAACATGGGCGTGCATACACCACTGTAATATGATGTCTCTAACTCTTTTGGGAAGACACCTAGGAGGGGAATAGCCAGGTAGAATGAAAATGTCTAGTTTTAGTCTTTTGAGGAATCTCCATACTGATTTCCACAGTGTTTGCACCAGTTTACACCCCCACCAACAGTGTAAAAGGGCTCTCTTTCCCCCACAGGGCTGCCAGCATTTCTAGATGATGGTCATTCTCTCTGGGGTCAGGTGGGCAGCCACAACGTTAATGGCTCAGTCCCCATCCTTACTGTAGCTCTTGCTTGGGATGCAGAAGCTGAGCCCACAGCTGTGAGTGCCAGCATCTCCAGGCATGTGGAGAATTCAGCCACAGCGGGCCTCAGGGATGGTGTGGTCTTGATTGCCACGGAGCCCTCCGCCCGTGCCGAAGCCCCCAGTCCTTGTCCCACACCACCCAGGGACAGTGCCGGCAGACGGGCTTCCCGCCTGAGCTGAGCTTCTGAAGGTGTTTTCTGCAGAGCTGTTTGCTCCTCTCGGAAATTGCAGACCACGCTGAATTTCCTTGTGTATGGCTGGGTGTCTCAGAAGCAGCTCTGCAGATGTTAAACGTGTGAGTCTCTGAGTGGGAGCAAAATAACCCTTGATCGAGCAGGGCTGTCAGGGTTCCAAGAGGGAGCTAGCCCTCGCTACGGCATGCCACCTGCCAATACAGATGTTGCAGGTGACTCACGGGCAGCATAGTAACCGCACCGCCAGCTGTGAATATTTAAAGTGGGAAAGATTTTTATCTCTAGACAAATATATTTCATAGCTTAGTATTTTCTTTAGCCAAAACACTGATTTTCCTTTCTAGTTATAGTCTCCAAAAAAGCCTTCTATTCCTTTTGTTGTCCAACCCACAAAACTAGGTTTCTTACTAGCAACCCTGAAAGGTTGAAGTGAGAACTTCGCTCTTGGAAAAGGCAGACATGTGTCTGGTGAGGCTAGCACTGGGTCTTCGACGATGAAGCTCCCCGCGTTGTAATCGGTCACAGTATTTCCTGAGGGCTTGAGAAACCTCTGGAGCCTGCAGACTAACTCACTCCAAGGTCACACGGTGGCTTCTGGGAGGAGTGTAAATCTGACTCCCAACCCAGTCCCCTTTCAAGTTTGTCACGCTCCAAAATCATTTAGAATAGAGCAGACCCTCTTCGGAGGAAATCTCCTTTGCGGTTGATTGTTTGGATTTTGTTTGTTTGCTTTCGGTTTTTGAGGCAGGGTCCCAGGCAGGTGATATTCCCGCCTCAGCCTCCCAAGTAGCTGAGCATAACAGATGTGTATCTTCATGCCTGGCTGCATGTGGGTAAGGGGAATATTTTAACATAATTTTTCGTAGTTGTCTGGAAAATCGAAGGTCCACAATGACTTTTCCATAAATTACGTCCTGTATTTCTTCCTGGGTCCATCAACAAACAGAACATGAGAAACCCCCATTCTCTCATTTGGAAAATGTGGGTCTGTGACTGGATGAGCCCTAGTTTTATGGATCAGTAATTCCGTTTCTCCAGAATTCATTTGCCTTTGAAATACCAAAGCTAGACATACACAGACATAACATAATATCCTTCAGCGTCATGCACTATAATGAAAAGTAAATTATATTTTTGAATGTATATTTTAATCATATAGGTAATATAAAATATATGGTCCTTAATTTAAGAAAATAGACATTGCCGAGTCTGCGAGTGGAGCTCCGTGGTAGAACACGTGCTTTACATGCGAGAGTTCCCGGATTCAACTCCCAGCCCTAGGAATAAGAAATGTTTATTAAATAAATAAATAAAACCAAAAAAGTAAACATTACCAAAAGAATGTTTGTTTTGTCACCCAATTCTAATTCTCTCCTGTCTAACCCTAGAGGCAATTATTACTTTGGGCATAAAGTTCTTGTAAAACTCCCTTTACAGGGTGGAGGATATATAGCTCGGTAGTAGGGCGGCTGCCTACCATATGTAGATTTCTTCCTGGTGTTGTTTATGGAACAGTTGGTTTCATAAACTTGCTTTTTTAATGCATCTAGTCTTTCCCTCAACAGTTTGTCTCTGGGATCTTTCTGTGCTGGTGGATGAGATAAATTTTTTATTTCTTTCTTTATACCTGAGGGGGTTGAAGATCGCTCTGGGTCTCCCGTCTCCTTCCCCTCTACCGCTTGGAAAGTCGTGCCCTTTCTACCAGTTCACTCCCGGAGCCCGCACCGTCTGAATGGGCCACGATTGCCCCCAGAACCTCCCGCCCCTTCCTCAGGGAGTGCAGTGTGTGCCTGAAAGGGAAGCGATCAGGAGACTGGTTTCCCACAGTCCTCCTGCCCCTGTTAAAAATAAACCAAACTCTATCTACCAGGGCTTGTGTTTCAAAATATAAAGAAAATATTTCACATCCCTCCCAAACCTGCTTTTCAGCTAAAAACCTGATGCGAAGACTTAATCTTTAACTGAAACACGAGGTGAAGCATAAATGAATCGTGGAAATGCTGGCCTTCTTAATCGCCCCCTTAGCCCCCCACAAAGTGGCCTGCTCTGGTATCTGGGTCCATGAGAAGGGAACAGCTATTGTAAGCCAGAATTCTCACTCTGACACTAACATAACCGGAAAACTTCACAGTAGTGTACTGGTCTGCATAAGAGGGTTTCTTTTTATTTCTTTTTTGTTCTTTCTTCCTTTTTCTCTTTCTTTTTCTTTCTTTTCAGTATTTGTGATAAAATCCAGGGGCTTCACACTGAGGGGCCTCCTAGCCTTTTTTTTTTTTAGTTCATTTTTTATTTTGAGACAGAATATTACTAAATTGCCCAGACAAGATTCAAACTTTCAATCCTCCTGCCTCAGCCTTCCAGAGTACTAGGATAATAGACGTGTACCACCGTGCCTACCTAAGATATTTTCTTTTAGTTCCTGTATCAGGCAATGGTGATTTTATTGCTAACAAATATAAACAAGGAATAAGAAGATTATGAGAAAATGTTCATCTCTCTAATTTTATGTGTCAAACTATGCTAATTTTTAAAACTAACAAAAAAGGATTAAGGGAAAATATGACAGAAAATGTCCCACAGGAGTTCACTTTTCTGAACCTGTCCTGAGGTACTGAGAAAGATAGTGACTAGAGGACTCATTTATAGGATAAGGATTTGGCTTTTTCACTTGCAGGGGAAAGCAAGCAAGCCAGCCAAGTACTCGCTGTGAGCTGGAAATCATCATCAGATAGAAGCAGAGTTGGAGAAAGGGGTTTTAGACTTAAGAAATCCCTTTGTGTAAAAAGATACATTCTCTGAAACATGATTTATGTCCTTGCTTTCTACTTTCTGCTCAAATTATTTTTAATTCAGGTATGGAGGAAGAGTTTCTTTATAACCTAAACAGCCATCTGGCTGAATACAAATGAGTTCGTAAGAGGCTTGAGCTACTCATGGGTAAACCCATGGGCCGGTGACCTTCAGTTGAGTTTCATTGCTGTGTGCTGTCAGCCGCAGCCTGGCTTGCGTTCTGTTCCCCTTGGCTTGGTGGATGGAGGGCCAAGCAAGAGGGCAGCTCACTCTGAGGCAGACTGCCTGTGGTAGAGAGGAGGAAGGAGAAAGCCATGCCCAGAACCTTAAGGCTCTTCCTAAAACCAGAGCTTATAGGCTTTCAGCAGCCAGAATCAGTCTTCCTTTTTGCGTTTGTTTCTGAGCAACAGAAGAGTAAGCACTAAGGAAAAAATAAAAACAAATTAGGAAATTAAATGTAAATGTCCTAGCAAATGCCTTACCAGCAACGCTCCCCCTTTCCTTCTGGACACTGGTGACCTGCTGGTTCTCCTGTTTTCCCCCTAGACAGTGAAGAAATCATTGCACGATGAGTCATTTATCTTCAGCGCAGATATCACAAGGATAGAGCCACATATTACTTGGAATGGGAAATTCACGTCACATCATTTTCCATCGGTGAGTAATCGACGGGAAGTGGAAATGTCACCGCGTGGCAGGCTGGCCATCTGGTCGGAGGCTGTCTGTGAATTCGGCAGCTGATGTGCGCAGAAGTACTAAAGCAACAATGTCTGAAGCCGCTGTGCTTCTCCAGGGAACTTCAGTTCATGCATGGGAGGAAGGCAATAAAGTCCAATTATTCTGGACGCGGCTACACAAGGCATATGAAAATTATCTCACGGAGAGCAACTCTATAGCTAAGTATTTTTTAAAATAGCCATCCGTCACTCCCAGTAAGAAAATCAAACAAACCAATCCATCTCTGAGGAGCCACCCATTAATCAAAAGGTGGTGGTGAGATGTTAGCAATTTTTCATTACTCCATGTGTAATATTTTAAATCTGACATGCTGACAGGGTGGTCGGAATACATGAAATTATCACGTCCACGGACAGACAGGCTTCCTAGTGTTGGAACAGGTGTGTTGCCGCCGTATCAGGGATCCCACATTTTTTCTTTTAATGCATTTCTTGTGCTTACGTCAGGGGGCTATGGTACCTGTAGTTGAAAGTGACACTGTAAGAGGCTTTGGAGACTGAGCATGATCAAAACTTTGGCAACCCCAGTGCTTTTGAGGTCTTGCATATCCTTTTCCCAGCTTTGGGAGGTCAGCGTCCTGGACCCGCCATACAGAGAAGCAGACCCGTGCAAATGAGATGTGGACATCGGTAGCAGATGAAGGGAAGGCCCAGAGGAAAGCTTAATTAGGACGAAACAGGAGAAGAATTTGCTTCAGGTGTTACTGCCCAGGCCAGCCACACCAGTGCGAAGTACTGGTTAGTTGCCTGGCTGGATTTAAAGTTTATTTAAATGAACACACCTTTTAAAATAATAGCAGTGAGGCCCTTTATCCGTTTTTAATTTTCTCTACCTCAGTGAAAACACAAACATCCCGGCGGTCCTACTGGACTTGCAGATCTTTGGAGTCAATAAGTTTCACAGTCTGTGCCGGGAACAGCTTTGCCTGGAGCACGGAGCTATGGGAGCTGTAAGAAGAGAATTCACGAGTGAGAAGTTGGCCCCCGAGTCCTGGTCCGGTTCTGGTAGCGGTGTAGTGCTGATCCAGTGGTTCTGCCTTTTGGGGTCCCAGCTGCCTTTGTCAAAGGCTAAACCTGGCCCACGACTTGCTTTGTGAAGTTTTATTAGAACGCAGTTGTTCCCCTTCACTCGGGTGTTGTCCGTGGCTGTTTTCCGGCTATGGCAGAAGAGTCGAGCAGCTTGCAACAGAGATCTCAGGGCCAGCACAGCTGAAAACAGTTACTGTCTGACCATCGGTAGGCAAAATGGCCCTCATCCGGGATCCTGACTTTGCCATCTGGAGTTCTGGGAAGGATGAAAGAATGCGAGACTTCAGGTACCTGAGAGAAGGGACAGAACCAAGATGAGAAAAGGCCAGAAAGGAGAAGAGGGATGGGCTCACATAGCCATATGCTTTTTTCCCATGGTGTCACTTCCCTGAGGCCCCGGAGCCAGGATTAGGGGACCCCTATGGAAAATGTGGTAGGCAGGAAAGCAGCCCCAGCTATGGATAAAGACACCACAGTCCAGCAGCAGCAAGAGTTCCCCGTAGGGGACGTGACCCTGGGGCTCGGTACATTCCCAGAACCACCTTCCACTGGAGGATGCTGGGCGGCTGGCCGCGTCAGACCACGCGGGAGCTGTTCCCTCCGGCACAGCCCCCCACGCGCACAGGGCATCCGCTCCTGGCACCCACATGTGTGCCCCACATGTGCCTGCCAGACCCACCCCACCCGCCCCAGAGTGCTGTTTGCCAGCTCCGGAAGTCACCAAAGCCTCAGCCAAGTTTCCGAAAGTCTCCCCGTGTGGCACCCTTATCTCCAGGCTTACACCTGGCTCCTTGGTCACCACCGGCGTCCCCTGCTTTAGCTGGGAGCTCCGCGCCATCCTCTGACCCACAGCCTTCCCCTTCCTAACTCCAGAACCTTCTCTCTCAGACACTCCACATGGCTGGCGCTCACTCCTTCCACAGAGTCTGCTGCCTCTCCTGCCCCAGAGTCCTCCAGCACAAGCCAGCTGCTGGAGCCCCCATTTCTGTGTACTTTGTTTCAGCTGCCTGGACCCCACAGCCTTAGCACCCGTCCCTGCGCCTTCCACTTCCTGGAGGCCACGTGACTGAGCCCTGGGTGGGGAGTTGTTGACTGGAGGTTGAGCGGTCTGGCCAAGTCTGCTCAGATAGGCCTCCGTGTTTATTCTCCGTGAGAGACCCCTGGATGGCGCATTTCAGAGAGCACCTGCGTGTAGCTGTCCACAGGGCCACAGAGCGGCCTCCAGGGGCAGCAGGTGATGGAGAAGACTCTCGAAGGGCTCCGAACTCCAAGGGCAGGTCCAGGGCAAGCACGCGCCTTGTCACGGGGGCGCTGAGTCCGTAGCACACAGCCAGAGTGACCTGCGAAAGGAGTGCTGCGGGACCGCCACGTCTCCTCCCTCCCCAACCCCGCCCCTCCGCGTGTCATGCCCTGGCGTGGAGGGTGTTGGGAAGGACCTCGCCACACCATTCCTGTTTCCTGTCTCCTCAAGCGCCTGCCCGCCAGCCCTGCTGGAAGGTGACCAGTGGCTGTCTCTGGGTGTCACCTTTGAATACCAGATGGCAGCGTTTGCCCTAGTGGGCCCAGGTCCCACGGGTCCCCGACATAGGAGCCTGTGGATTATGCGGCCGACACACTGCCCATCCCCCTAACTTCTGGGCTCGCAGCGGGGTCCTGCGGGGTGGAGCTCCGTGTCTGCCTTGCTTGAAAAGTGGGGCCTCATTTCCACCTTCGCTGACTCCCCGTTTCCCTAATGCAGGTTCACATTTGAAGCAGACGGACGTGGCCTGCAGCCTGTACTGCCAGGAGGCTGGGCCTAAAAGAGTCCCTGTGCTTAGAGAAGTCAGGGCCCAGCGCTGAGGCCGCCTGTGTCCCCATTCTGTGTGGACCTGGCGCTCGGCTGCAGGAGGAGGCGGGTGATGAAGCCTCAGGGTCCTGGAGGTCACACTCCAGGGACCAGCAGGCTGGGACAGGCGGTCATGGGAGGGGGCAGCCCTCGCCAAGTGTCACTGGGGTGGGAGCCTAGTCCACTTCTGCCTGAACGAGTTAACGTCCTAGATCGTTTTAATAATCAAGTCTGGAGCGCAGTCTTTTGTTTGCAAAAGTTTGGGTGAATGCAGATTGCCTTAACAGTTTATCTTAAGAATGCCCTCTCTCTCTCTCTCTCTCTCTCTCTCTCTCTCTCACACACACACACACACACACACACACTTTGTGCTCGGATTGTAGTTTCAGGAAGAGATGGATTGCTGCTTTCTAAAACCTGATATGACCGGAGCAGACGCGAAAACCAGTGCATTACACATTATGAGACGCCATCTCCTCACCGTGTCCAAAGGCCACCTGAAAAAAATATACCTCAGCGGGTGGGACCGTAGTTTTTGAGCCTGTGGGGTTTCTGTGGGCACCCAGGCTCCCCTGCTTGCTCCCTGAAGCTGGGAGGGCCGGGAGGGGTAACATCAAGGACATTGTGTGATGCTGGACAGCACGAGGCTGGACAGGGCAGGGATGATCCACGCTGAGGGCCTCGGCAGTGACGTGAAATCTACCTGCTTCTGCCTGTGCCTCTGTCTCTCCCTTCTCCTCGACACATTCCTCTGCCTGCAGGAAAGACCACGGCCATAGTGCCCTCGTGGCTCTTGGCTGGATGACACCAGGGCCCTGGGGACCTCATCTCCAGGACAGACAAACTGACTGCCCTGCCGTGAGAAACATGGAACAGGAGGACGTCATCTTGGGGTAAAACCTGCGCTCCTCTCAAGCTTGCCTTGAGCCCAGAAGGCCAAAGACCGGGAAAAAGAGGAATGTCAGTGTTTCCTTCAGAGCTGAAGCTGTGGCTCTGAATTTATGCGCCGCACCCCGGGAGGAGTGGCTGTGTCTTCTCCGCTGGTCTCAGGTTACCCTCCCCCGCACATCTGCATCCTGCTGTGCAGAAGGCGCCCGTACATCACAGGGCCCTCCGAACGCAGACAACACAGGCAGACGGACGGGAGGCTGAGGGACAGGGAGTCGAGGCCGCTCTGCTCTGCCGGCCTGTGCCGTGTTTGGGGCAGGAACGTTTGCACCCCGCCAGCCTCGCTGGGGAGCTCTGTCTCCCAGAGTTACTAGATGAGCACCGGAAGAGCGGCTGCCCCCGGCTGGAGCTGCTGCCCTGTCACTTGTGGTAGTTTCATTTCAGGACAAGCTTTGCACCTCCCAGGGGCACTAATGCATTTTTACATAAAGTGGGGTCTGCGTTTGGGGGAAGAAAGGCCAGACTGGCTGCACATGAGTGCGGCTGCCTTGGTGGTACTGGGTACAAAGAGAAGATGGACATGATAGTAACAGAGGTGCAGGGTGTCGCCATTGTCTCAGCCCCAGAGCTAGTTTAATCCCCACAAAGGAATCTAAAGATGCTTTGGCTTGGAGATGCAGGCATGTGGTATTTACACACAGTGGAGTACTACTCAGCCGTAAAAAGGACCCACTGGAGTCAGCGGTGGGAAAATGGGTGTGTGTTGACACCATAACGTGAAGTAAATCAGACACACGAGCTTAAATATCGCCTGGTCTCTCTCATGTGAGAAACGCAAAGTAAAAATAAGTTAGAGAGGCTTTTATGTTTAAGGTCAAGGCATTAATCGTCCTTGATAGGGAGTTTTAGCCGATATGCTGTCACTCACAGCCCAAGGGCATCGTCTGAGCCTCAGCCTTCTGTATAGAACTCTTCTTCCCGACATTTTCAGCTGGGAAGTCCCAGCAAGGCTGCGTTTTCCTGGGGAAGGAAGGGGCAGACGCTGGAAGGACACGGGCACCTCAGTCCTCATGTGACTGGCCCCGGCCCCATCCCCCGCAGTGACCACCAACCCTGGGCCTCCCTCCTCTGCTCACACAGATGTACCTCTGACGCGTGGAATAGGATTTCCGTAGCCA